ACTAGTCATGCTGTTGCTAGACTCTAAAGAGATATACCGACTATTCCCGGAACTCACACAAAGTCCCCAGGCACTCTTTTATGGTCCACCAAATATTTAGATGAACCTCGGAAACGAATTATAGACTATGAACACATTGTGTTCTCATTACCACCCATAGATGTATCATGAAATGATAGACCAATTCCCATTGCTCCTACTAACAGTAATAGGTTACGCCTTTGAAGTGTTACCCGTGACTTTTCTCTGAATTTAAATTCCGATTATTATTTTCATATCTTCAAAGCAGTTTTAGTTTTTATTTCTAGTAGACAGACAAATTGAAAAGCCTGTAGATGCTGTTCAACTACTGTCAATTACAAGGAACTCAAACACCGTGTATCATTGTGAGTATCTTCTTATTTAAGTACTAACAGTTTAACTAATTTTAATTTCCCCAATTCATTAACATGCAAACACCTTGCCTGCTTACCAACTTATCGCTTTACTCATTAATTTTTAACATTATTTCAACTCTTTTTTTCACTTTCTCCTCGTTCCAGCTCCCTGTCCTTCCTATTTCCAAACTACCCATTAACTGACTCATCTTACAAATTATACCATTCGTTTACTTAAAATCAGTGTGATATGCTATGTGGATATATTATCTGGCAAAGTTGTCTGGATTGCTTGTAATGTTGGAGCTAGTAGAGAATGTTAATTCCGATAAGGTGTACAAAAAAAAATTGAGAGTAGACTAGAGACCATTATTTACAATTAACCATTTAACGTAAGAGAGCCTAACATCACAAAAGGAGGGAGGGTGGTGTATCTGACCAGCATTCATGACGGTGGGGCGATAACCTCAATCTACCCATGTCTGTGTGGCAGAACATTTTGTTTGCTTACGGCTCCTTACGATATAGCAGGATGTAACAAATCAGTGATATTGATGTTACTTTTCCTAGTTAACCTCGTCTACAACCCATGTCTGTAACCTTGCACTGGTTTTTACTTCCTACCGAGAAATCCTATTACAAGCTGGTCTGGACAACTATACTAAAAAAGAGCTCATTCATAACTTCTTGAGCCTCAGAGTTAAAAATAAAAAGAATAAATAAAACCAAAAAATTATATCACTGATCCTCTTTATTATATTTTGTAAATCAACTTTATTACTAACAACTTGGTTCTTCTGAATTTCCTCGATTCTTTCAACTAACTTCTCATTAGTTATCTCACTACTGAATTGTCTTCATTAACCTACATAAGCGCAGGTGTAAAGTGTTCTGATATTAAAAATGTTTGGGTAAACATACATTTGTTTTATATATAAACGTATGTGCAAAGCCATTGTTCGGCTTTGAACATGAATATTTTCTGTTCTGCTCCTCGTCCCGTTTTCTTTATTCCTCTTTTTTCAGAACCTTATTCCAATCCACATATATTAGTCTGGATATTTGCAGTAGACTTGGTTACTCTAGCCAAGAACATGTGAAATCATTAGCTGACGAATATCAACCAGACTTTTGTACATTTACCGCATCAATTCTTGTTATATGAAAACCTGTCTGTACCATGAATCATTTCTCAGCCCATAAGATGATTGTCGTAACGCAACCTTCGTAACTTGCGCCAATTGATCGCTTTGTACATTCCATCTTTAAGAAAACAATGAATCTTGTGAAATGTTTCAGTAACTTTATACCGTTTTCAGAAAAAAATATGTTGCTAATCTTAACATTTTGATCTTGCCTGTAAATTGGCATGTCTCTTGTAACATGTTTGTTATTTGAGAATAAATTATTATTATTATTATTAGTACTATTCAAACCCAGTGCCAGCTGACGGCTTAGGGAATAGATGACTTACTCCTGACTTAATATTAAGAAAACTGAAATCCTTGCTTCCTCAAAAGTCACCCGGATGTGACAATATTTTCCTACAGCCCTCTTTTCATCAGAATGTAACCTCTCCGGGCATTCGTTACAGTCACACCAACTCTCAGGTGAATTGAAGCAAGCTATTCACTCTCCGATCTTCAAAGGAGGAGGTAGGAAGAACCCAGCCTGTCACAGACCAGTCGACTGAACTTCGAAAGGACCTTACATCTGTTGAGGAATGGGCATTGAAATAAGGTTGAAAATTAAACCAGTCCAAATGTCACGTCATGTACATTCTACCTCACAGAACGCAAATGACTTACACCCTCAATAAAAGTCCGTTCCCTTATGTCTCTTCAGAGCGCGATCTCGATCTAATAGCCACTGAAAGCCTCTACTCCAGCGTGGACTATATAGGTGGCTCAGCTAAGGCTAAAGCAACTCTTTACTTTATGCGAAGACAAACTGGTGTCATCACATCAGAATTGTTCTTAACACTGTTTAAGACATATACGCGCCCACACCTGGAGGTTCATAACGTCGTCGCATCCCCTCTACTTAAAAGAGACACAAATCTCTCGGATCGAGTGAAGAGATGAGCGACCGAATAGGTTATAGGGTTGAAGAAAACTTATGAAGATAGACTCCGGCACCTGGGGGTATTCCCTCTGAGTTACTGGAGAATCACGGGTGCTCTGATTATGACGTACAATATATTAAACATGCCAAATCATCCCAACGTGAACATCTTACTGAAGCATCTCAAGGTAATCCTCAAAAAGTTGGACATCAAATAATTAACATTCAGGTTCATGCATAATTTCTCAATAAGAGTCACTGAAACTTGGGATGCTCTCCCAGACAAGGTGACCACAGCCCCCTCAGTGGACAGCTTTAAGAAGAGACTTGATGAAAAATTACTCACATACAAATTAGCACCTTCCTCGTGGACCATCTGTGCCTGACGCATGTCTTGAGACCTGCTAGTTGATATTGTTTCCATTTCCCCCAATCACTAAATCTATCTTTCTTATTATCTCTGTTTCCTCTCTCTTGTTTACACTCCAGTCCTCTCTCACAATCTTCACTGTCAACAAATAAACTAAATTGTCCGTTTATTCACTTAGCTCTGAAATCTGCTTCTTATTAGTATTAGACGTTTCTACCTAATATTCGCCACATTGCAACTAACTGATCTCCGGTCTGGTAATCTGATAGCTGCTGGCATCCAGAAACCCTACTGCCCTGAAACAAACACACTAATGGATAAGAATAAAATACTCCATGAAGCTCAACACGGGTTTCGGAAAGGCAGGTCGTGTGCATCTAATCTTCTCATCGCATGGGACAGTTGGACATCCTGCTTGGACCGTAAAATACCAGTGCACGTAGTATTTCTCGACTTCGCAAAAGCCTTTGACACAGTGCCCCACGCACGCCTAATCGAAAAGGTTGTGGAAATGGGCTTCACTGACCCGCTCGTATCTTGGCTCAGAAACTACCTTGAGAATAGAAAGTTTCGCACCAAGGTAAACAGGGTGCACGCGAGTTGGAGAGTATCCACTTCAGGAGTTTCACAGGGGACCATCCTAGGCCCACTCCTCTTCCTGATATTCATTAACGACCTGCTAAGCTTAGTTAGCTCACCGGCACTGATCTACGCAGACGATGCGAAGATCTGGAGGTCCATTAGAAGCGAAGAGGATTCGACTGAGCTTCAAAAGGACCTTACATCCATTGAGGAATGGGCAGTGAAAAACGGTTTAAAACTTAACCAACCGAAGTGCCACGTCATGCATTTCCTGCCTCATATGACGCAAACCACCTACTTTCTCAATGGAAGTCCGCTCCCTAATGTCTCCTCAGAGCGCGATCTTGGTTTAATAACCACAGAAAGCCTCCACACGAGTCCGAACTATGTAGGGGATGCAGCCAAGGCAAATGCGACTCTTCACTTTATGCGAAGACAGCTTGGTGCTATAACCCCGAAATTATTTTTAACCCTGTTAAAGACGTACGCGCGCCCACACTTGGAGGTTCACAACGTCATCGCACCCCCTATGCTTAAAAGAGACATTAATCTCTTGGATCGAGTGCAGAGACGAGCAACCAAATGGGTGATAGGGCTGAAAAATAAACCGTACGACGATAGACTCCAGCTCTTGGGATTATTCCCACTGAGCTACAGGAGAATCAGAGGTGACCTGATTATGGCGTACACCATATTAAACACGCCCAACCATCCCAATGTGAGCATCTTACCGATGCATCACCACCACTCCCCTCGAGGCAATCCTCAAAAGATTGCACATCAAAGAGCAAACACTCAGGTTCGTGCACACTTTTTCTCATTGCGAGTCGTCGCAACTTGGAATGCTCTCCCAGCCGAGGTAGTTACAGCCCCCTCAGTGGACTGCTTTAAGAAGAGACTTGATAATCACGTACTCACATGCGGACTATCATCTCCCTCTTGGACAAGCTGTGCCTGATGCATATCTTGAGACCTGCTAGTTGTTACCATTGCCATCTCCTCAGATCACTTAATTAATTTAACTCGCCTATTCCTCTCCCTTGCTTACACTTCGGTCCTCTCTCACAATCTTCACTACCAATTAATAAACTAAATTCATCTATATATTACTCAGTTCTGAAATTTTACTCATATTATCATTTTAATTTACCCTTATTACCCTTATTACTCTCCACATTGCAACTAACTGATCTCCGGTTTGGTAAAGTGACGGCTGCTAGTATCCAGAAACCCTACTGCCCTGAAACAAACGTTTCATTCAAATCCCGAGACATACAAACTCACAACCAACTGCCAACTGACTAGAATTAGACAGTCGAGTGGCTAGACCTCCATCCATTGGACATTACCGAACACCTGGAACCGTACCGAAAGAACAAGAATCGAGCGCGAAGAAATCAAATTGGTTTACACTAGCTCGTGAAAAAGATATTGGATATTGGAATATTGGACCCCCGTTCATCGGGCATTACCAAATACCTGGAACCATACAGAAAGAACAAGAGTCTAGCGCAAAGAAATCAAATGGTTTGTGCTAGCTCGTAAAAAAGATATTGGATATTAGACTTGTCTACCATCAGCTGGTCTCTGGATTATTCCTGGTTGTACGCGGCTAAAATAAGCGGAGCGCTACCCACTTACAATATAAAATGGTAGCTGAGATGAACGGACCCAACGGGAAGATTGTTACTTTTTCAAATCATGCCTTGAAGCTAGATAAAGCTTCAGATGCGAAGGATATTGTTTCTGCATTAGCTTCAAACTTAGATGCTGAGTGTTTGGATCTCAGTGGCAATACACTGGGAATAGATGCGGCTAAACCTATTGGTATTGCTCTGGAAAAGAACCGTCAGATTAAGCGTTGCTTGTTTAATGATTTGTTTACAGGTAAGGGATCCTATTTTAATCATAATATAGTATATCTTAATGTAGTATGTAGAAATTCTCTAAGCATCAACTGTCATCTTACTCAAATATAATTATAATAAGAGCCTATTTCCAAAAAATGTCTATTAATGCTTTGATATGTAGTTAGGACGTGCTTGTCGATTCACTTCTGTCCCAGTGGTCGTATTTGCACGTCATAGAATGCTGATAATAACGAGAAGCATAAATCAAAATAAGCTTCGATTTTGTATTGATTAAATTGTTTAGGTCATACGTTACGCACACCGAGTCACTCTTAAAACCAACTACCATGTTGGTCAGCATATGTTATTCAAAGAAAATTAAGAGACATTGTAGTAGAGTCGTGTTAGCGAGAATCCAGTTTTTATCCTCGTCCCTCAGATCAATAACCTAAACAGGATTTTTCTGACAAAGACTGGTTCGATTTTGCAGACCAGTAGCTATATGATTAAGGCACTTAACTTTCAAGGGTCATTTCTAACGCTGCTCCATACTTTGCTAATCCATAAGTTCACGTTTATTACCTATACATTTCCTGGTAATTTGTCTTTGGTTCGTATTGTTAATTTGACTTCTAATTTACTAAACATAGTTTAAACTCGGTACAGTCGGCACACAAATTCATTTATAACTCGTGTCTTAGATCATGTCTTCTAACATTATTTCATACTCTTTACTTCCCGAGTTCATTCCTTTCAAAGCCAAATCTCTCGTGCCCTGTCGATACTGCTATGAATCCAACTTATTTGCTGTGTTGATACTGTTTAAAAACTTGGATCAATTCACATTTGTACTAGGTCTTATGTTATTACTATCATCTAAAAGTGAGCAAGGTTGTTGGTCTCAATGACTTAAACGCTCTAGCTCACTGTTAGTAACGCAGAAAAGGATTGGGAATTAAACGAAATCTGAGTGTAAGCTCTTTTTATTAGAGATCGTTAGACACGCAGACGACGATTTGTCAGTCTGTAGATTAGTTGTTCATCTTCACATAGCCTGCATTCCTATTTTTGCTGTCGTAGATGCTTGGCTCTTACACGCTAATAAGTTGGATACTGAAAATGCTTACTTACTGACTTATTTACGCCTGTTACCCCCAATGGAGCATAGGCCACCCACCAGTTTTCTCCAGCCAACTCTGTCCTGGGCTTCTCTCTCCAGTTCTGTCCAATGTTTGTTCATTCCTCTCATATCTTTCTCTATTTCTCGGCGTAGTGTGTTCCTTGGCCTTCCTGTTTTCCTTTTGCCTTGAGGGTTCCATGTGAGGGCTTGTCTAGTGACGCAGTTAGGTGCTTTTCGTAGTGTATGTCCTATCCACTTCCACCGCTTCTTCCTGATTTCCTCATCCACTGGAATCTGGTTTGTTCTCTCTCACAGTTCGTTGTTGCTGATGGTGTCTGGCCAACGAATACGAAGTATTTTGAGTAGACAACTGTTAATAAACACTTGTTTCTTCTGGATGATGGCTTTGGTAGTTCTCCAAGTTTCCGCTCCTTACAGTAGAACCGTCTTGACATTTGTATTGAAAATCCTTATCTTGGTTTTGGTTGACAGTTGTTTGGAGTTCCAGATATTTTTCAACTGTAGAAATTCAGCCCTTGCTTTGCCAATCCACGCCCTCACATCTGCATCGGATCCAGCTTTCTCGTCGATGATGCTGCCCAGATATGTAAAGGTGTTAACGTCCTCGAAAGCATCTCCATCAAGCGTGATTTGATTGGTTCATGTTGTGTTGCATCGGAGAATTTCGCTCTTTCCTTTATGTATGTTGAGACCTACTGCTGCAGAGGCTGATGCTACACTGGTCGTCTTCTCTTGCATTTGTTGTTGAGTGTGCGATAGAAGAGCCAGGTCATCTGCGAAGTCCAGATCGTCCAGCTGCGTCCTAACTGTCCAGTTGATACCGTGCTTCCCTCCAGCTGTTGACGTTTTCATAATCCAGTCGATGACCAGGAGAAAGAGAAAGGGTGAGAGTAAGCAACCTTGCCTCACACCGGTCTTCACCTCGAAAGAGTCTGTTAGCTGTCCTTCGTGTACGATTTTGCAGTTGAATCCATCATAAGAATTCCGTATGATGTTGACTATTTTCTCAGGCACCCCGTAGTGTCGAAGAAGCCTCCACAGTGTTTTCCTATCCACGCTATCGAATGCTTTCTCGTAGTCGATGAAGTCGAATTAGAGTGGTGAGTTCCATTCAATTGATTGTTCTACAATGATCCGTAATGTAGCAATTTGGTCAGTACACGATCGATCCTTACGAAATCCGGCCTGTTGATCTCGAAGTTGGGCGTCTACGAAGTCCTTCATTCTGTTTAACAATACCCTGTTGAAGACTTTGCCTGGTATTGAAAGAAGAGTGATGCCTCTGTAGTTCTCACACTGGCTGAGATCGCCTTTCTTTGGTATTTTGATGAGGTTTCCTTCTTTCCAATCTGATGGTACCTGTTCCTCATCCCAAATCATCTTGAAGAGGATGTGAAATATTTTCGCAGTTGCTTCTACATCTGCTTTCATTGCCTCTGCTGGAATGTTGTCTGGTCCTGCTGCTTTGCCGCTCTTGATTTGTCTGATGGCCATACTGATCTCCTCAATCGTAGGTGCGCCAATATTAATTGGGAGATCCGTGGATGCTGCTTCGATGTTGGGTGGGTTCAGTGGAGCTGGTCGATTCAATAGTTCCTTAAAGTGCTCTACCCACCTATTTCGCTGTTGTTCAGTGTTGCTGATTATTTTGCCTTCCTTACTTTTCACTGGTCGTTCTGGTTTACGATAGTTCCCGGTGAGCTTCGTTGTTTCGTACAATTGTCTCATGTTTCCTTCTCTTGCAGCCTTTTCCACCGTCATTGCTAGATCTTCCACATATTTTCGTTTGTCAGCTCTGATGCTCTTCTTCACTTCCTTGTTTGCTTCTGTGTATGAAGCTTGTGCCTTAACTTTCTCTGCTCTTGTTCGGCTGACATTGATTGCTGCCTTCTTGTTCCTCCTTTCTTCAATTTCGTGACATGTTGAAGTGACTGCCTCCTTAATCCCTTTCCAATTGTTCTCCAATGTTGCGTCCTCTCCATTGTGTAGATCCTGAAAGGCCTGGGACCTATTGGTGAGGGCTATCCTGAATTCGTTGAGCTTTACAGTATCCCGAAGAAAGGCCGTATTAAACTTGTGTGATGTTGTCTGCCCCGTTGTCCAGTGCTTCTTTAGTTTCCGTTTCATTTTGGCGATTAGTAAATGGTGATCTGAGGCTATATCAGCTCCTCTCCTGGTTCTCACATCCTCCATAGTCCTTCTGAACGTTTTGTTGATACAGATATGATCAATCTGGTTTTGAGTAGTGTGATCCGGTGAAATCCATGTAGCTTTGTGCATGCGTTTGTGCGGGAATATTGTGCCACCGATGACCAGTTTGTTGAAGGCACATAGGTTTGCAAATCTCTCACCGTTTTCGTTCCTTTCTCCCAGTCCATGTCGTCCCATGATGTCTTCATATCCAGTGTTGTCCATTCCAACCTTGGCATTCAGGTCTCCCATAAGAATCGTCAAATCCTTTGGTGAACATTTATCGACGATTGACTGTAGCCTTTCGTAGAATTGATCTTTAACGTCGTCATTGTAGTCATTGGTGGGTGCATAACATTGGATGACGTTCATTGTAATGTCCTGTTTCTTTGTTTTGAAGGATGCTTTAATGATCCTGGGTCCATGAGATTCCCATCCTATTAGTGCCTTTTGTGCATGTTTGGACAGCATCAGTGCAACTCCTTGTGTATGTGAAGCATTTTCATCTTCATGACCAGAGTATAACAGCAGTTCTCCTGAAGCTAGTCTCAGTTGTCCTACTTGTGTCCAATGTGTTTCACTGATTCCAAGCACCTCAAGGTTGTATCTTTTCATTTCTGCCGCAACTTGAAATAGTCTTCCAGTCTCCCACAATGTACGAACGTTCCATGTACCTAAAAAAATGGTTGCTCTGGTTGTCAGAAGAGGCATCGTCCCCGTGACTTCCGAGGGAACTCGGCTTTCATCACGCGACGTCATAATTCTTCCTTCAACTCCCAGGGCAGAGTTAAAATGGTTTGAATTATTTTTTCTGGTTAGCGTTTTTTTGGCAAGTTAGTTTTTGACGGAATGGGGTCGCCAACCCCATGTCCAACCCTCCTCCTTTACCCGGGCTTGGGACCGGCAGTAGCCCCGAAGGTTCTACTGGTGGAGTTACTGAAAATGATAGTAACATTTAAGTGATTCTTGTTACGAAATAAAGCCCGTCTGTCTTTTTTGACTTTAAAGTCCAGATTTCTGTGTAAAACTATCTATGAAATAAAATAAACATCTAGAGCCTTAAAATCTTCACTTTCATTTCCTAATTAATTAGAAAGTGAGTAACCCTAAAAGCATCTTACAATCGCCCCTGATATTTTGCTATGTTTAGTTTTTTGTTACTATTTTATGCATATAAGCATGTTAAATTCACTTGTTTCATAATATTCAGAGGCAAAAACATTTTCAGCGTGTTGCAATTTATTTATTTTTTCTGAAGCTCTGAAAGTTTACTTATATCATGCCATATTTAGGTCGTCTTAAATCAGAAATAGCACCAGCATTAAAGTATTTGAGTAATGGTCTTATGGCTTCTAAGTGTCAAATAACTGAATTGGATCTTAGTGACAATGCTTTCGGTCCAAATGGAGTTGTCGGTGTAACTGATCTGCTAGCAAGCAATACTTGTCACACTTTGAAGGTTAGTGTTGTTCCTAGTTGTAATTCATGAGGCTTTTATAGATATTGCGAATGAACAATCAAGGTCTTGGACATGAAGGATGTCGACATCTTGCAGAGGCTTTAGAAAAAGGAAGATCTTTATCAAAGCATCAAGGCTTATTACTAAAAATATTTTCTGGTGGAAGAAATCGTTTAGAAAATGTTGGAGCTCAAATGCTTTCTAAAGTATTCAGTAAGATGGGATCACTAGAAGAGGTATTTATTTATCTCCGGAAAGTTGACATTACATTCTTCTTCTTTTTGTAGCTTTCACTTTATCAAAATGGAATTGGAATTCATGGCGTAGATGGTATTTTGTCATTGGTCAAAATAATCGAATCTAATCCAAATTTACGAGTGTTAAATTTATCTGATAATTCACTTACTCCACGTGGTGGTGAAGCAATTGCACGTGCTCTGCCTTCATTAATTAATTTAGAAGTAAATTAATTTGCAAAATATATAATCTTATTATTTGCATTTTTGAAAATGTTCAAATGGTTTTTATATGGAATGTCTTAATTTCATTTAATATGATTCTGCATAATTTCTCTCTTAGTAGACCCAGCTAAATCCTATTGCTTAGTATTCTCTGACAACCATACACTCGACTAGTTAGTTCCCAAATCAGAACACAGTTGAATAGGGAAAAGATTATATTCCAAATAGCAAGGTTAAATGGAAGTAATAGGCCGAACCGAAGGCGAAATAGGAACAACGTTAGTATCTTCATAGTTTTTACATTAAGAAGCTTCTGGAATGCTCTCCAAGTATCGATCAGCGCTGATTGGATAGGAATTAGCCAATTAGAGCGCAGCTAACGCAGTCATGCTTTAATCCATCTACGTCTCGCTAACACAATAGGATTTAAGATCTAGCAGATTGTAGCATTGGCATTAAAATGCCCCGAAGTTTGGTCAGAAAGTGAAAACTGAAAGTGAAGTTTAACCGTATTCGTAGATAGTTAGACAAATAGCGATCAGATGATCAACCATCGTTTCATTATCGTGCTTTTATTAAACTGCTTCTTCATGTCTGCAATCAATTCACTTGCTGATTCATTCTTCAGATTTTTAACTTTCCGTTAACGATCAAACTTGAGCATCGAATAGGTATGAAATGTATCGCTATTTGTTTCTACCCTGGGTTAGGAAAAAAACATACTGATTACTGTAAGGGTTATTTAATATATGTTAACATCCGACCATGTGGGTGTAGTGCTTCAATTTAGTACATCATAGCGTTCTCTTGATTGTATAACATCTGTATAAGTTACTTGGCACACAGTTAATTACTAGGTCTTTAGTGTGATCTTTTAATTAGAAAAGTTCTTCACAACTTAGTATTATTATGCTTGTTTTTAGATATTGGTAGGTTAAAAATTGAAATTCAAGGTTGAAATTCTGTATTATTTATTTTGTTCGTTATAGCTTGTGCAGATTTTAATTCTGCGGTTTCTGTAGATTCGATGAGTCGTGTATTGTGGGCTTTTACTAGCTTCTTATCCCTCTTCTTTTTCTAATCTTGGATTGAATACTATTTTTCAGTCATTAGATTTGATTAAGACCAATTTAATCTGGTGCTCTGTCACGGGTATGAGGGCGGATGTCACTTCCCGGATGCCCACACCGTGGATGGGTGTTTCTTGAGGAACCTGAAAAGGAAGTTGGATTAACGTTGTTCTTAGCGACACGGGAGCGGGACCGCAGAACCCAAGGAACGTCTGCTTGAGACCGATCACGTACAGCCTTTTTATGAGAATTTTTTAGATATGTCAGCTCCACTCTTTAAAATTGCAGAGACGGGAATCCGGACAAATTAAAATATACCACATCTCTTTGACGCTATCGCTGGTTGACGTTGTATCGGGAGGAAATGAACTTGGTAGCCTTATCGCCGGGGACAGCAATCTATGGGGTAAGGTGAGGTGTGACATTTCTAAGGTCCACCTTTTATAACCCCTTCCTTTCTTGTGTGAAGGCAGCCTCGCTGCAGATGCGATAGGCAAACCCGGCACAATTTCAAAGTAGCAGCTACGGTCAGGTGAATACTATTCTGGTAGAAATCTGTTGGTTAAATCAGCTAACTGTCAATTGAGTAAAATATCTTCAAATAACCTAAGCATAGTTAGTTCTGTTTCTTCATAATTAAAGCTAAATTACCGTAATACTCTATCGACTGTGTTGTTTTTGTTTTGGTAGGAACTTTATTTGAGCGATTGTATACTCCGATCATCCGGCGTTAAATCTCTTGCTTCCGCATTTGAAGATCCTGACACAACTCCTAATTTAAGAGTTTTAAATCTAACTGGCAACGAAATCAAATTGTCCGCTGGCATTAATTTAATTTTATCTTTGGGCAATAAATCTAATTTAGAATTACTAGACTTAAATGCTAATGAATTTGGTCCTTCTGGTGTTCGATCAATCATTCAAACACTTGGTTCAGTAGGACTTTTACACACAATACCTATTCCGAATAACGAAGAAGATTCACCAAATAAATCAATTTCAGACGAATCCTATTTATGTGCATTTGATGAAGACCAGGGGTCGGATCAAGAAGATGAAGATGATGAGACCAATGAAGGAGGAGAGGAGAATGCTGATGATGATGCTGATGATGATGATGATGATAATCTAGAAGAAGAAGAATACGATGATTCTATCAGAAGTCAATATGGAGATGAAGATGATGATGAACGTGAAAATTATAGTGATGTAACGCCAAACAAAAATGAGTGTAAGTTCACGTGTCTTCTTCAAAGGGAATGATTAATTTTATTATGTATATTTAAAAATAAATACGTTATATTTAGGAGGTCAGTCAGCTATGACGTACGTACGTACATTAGTTCATGTTGCCATACCACATTAGTACGAAAAAAAAAATCTAATTGTTAATTCAAAATCCATTGTAGTGTAGGTAGTGGAAGTCAGTCAGTCAGTCAGTTGCAACGTAGAACTTCGTACGTATGTACATAAGTTCATGTTGCCATACCACATTATTAGCACAGAGACGCAAATGTCAAATCAAATCCCATTGTGATAAAGATAGTAGAAGTATTAATGGTAATGAAGAAGACTAGGGTTTGAAGATATTATTCAAGAAATATAATTCAGTGAGATAAAGTTAGAAAGACAAAGGTAGAGGTGCTGACGAATCCAGAAGATTATGATTTGAGAGAGCTCAAAGAATGGATGCGCTTCCGCAATTGCAAACGATTTTGAGCCATGTCACTCAAGGTCTCTAACCACTGGTGACTTTCGTCTCGCTAACCCCAACCAAGTAGCCTACATCTACCAACATGACTCAGTCCACTTGTCAGTAATTTCATGAATTTCTGTCATGTTTCAGTCTGGCTACTAGTAGCTTTCTTCCAACCTACTCCTACACTACAAAACATTGCTCGACGAAGCAGTCGGTGGTTAGCCATACGTAACACATGTCCCAACCACCTCAACTGACGAAGCTTCATTACTTCATCTATTGATCTGCCATCCCTACCTAGCACCCGTTTCCTAACGACAGCATTGCTTACTCGGTTGTCCCACGATATACGAGCAATGCTTCTTAAACATCTATGATCGAATACTAGTAACCTACGAACATCTTCTACTCTTAACGGCCATGTTTCACAGCCATATAAGAGAAAGGAGCGAACTGCTGCGCAGTACACTCGTCCTTTGGTTAGCGAACGGATATCACGCCTACGCCATAAGTGACGCAGCTTGGCAAAAGCCGATCGAGCCTTCTTTATCCGCGCTGAGTCAGTCACCAGACCGTCAGCACTGATGAGACTCCCAGGTAGTAGAAGTATTAGTGTTAATGGAGAATATTAGGGTTTGAAGAAAATATCCGAGAAGTATAATCCAGCAGATAAAGGCGATGAGAAATTCAGAATATTGTGATTTCAGAGAAACCAAACAACGGATGCAACTGCACCATCGCAAACGAATTCGAACCATGTCATTCAAGGTTTCTAACGATCGGTTGGTATCGTTTCGCGGACCTCAAACATATAGTTTACATCGATCAACATGACTCAATTCACTGGTCAGTGACTTCATGGATTTGTACCATGCTTTGCTTTGGCCGCCCCTAGCTTTCTTCCAACCTGTTCCTATATAAAAAAAAACCGGTCATCGGGTGGTCAGTGGGTGGTTGGCCATTCGTAACACATGTCCCAACCACCTCAACTGATGAAGTTTCAATACTACATCGATTGATTTGGTTGGTTGATGGACTTTTCGTCTACGTCATTAATGACGCGATTTCGCAAAACCAGTCGAGCCTTTTGTATCCGTGCTGAGATTGCATCAGCCACCAGGTCATCAGCACTGATGAGACTACCAAGATATGTGAAGCGGTCATTTTTGCTAAGGCTAGTCAGAATACTCTGCATTTTGTCAGCGTCTTCGCCGAAAAGAGCTATGTAATCAGCATATTCTAAGTCAGCAAGCGTGTCTCCTAGTTAAAGGTCCACTCCTGAAAAACTCTAAAAGCATATCTAAGACAAAGTTAAACAAGAATGGAGAGAGTGGACAACCATGACGGACACCATTTAAAGTTCGCTAGTTCGCCGTAAGCTGTCACTCAACCAGTAGTGATCGAGTGGAGAGCCTGTATAATGTTATTGTACTTCTTTGGTACACCTTTCAATGACAGACACTGCCATAGAACCTCATGATCGACAGAGTCCAATGCCGCCTTAAGGTCGAGAAATACTACTCTTGTGGGGCGTCTGAACTTGTGTCTTTGTTCTAGAACCTGACGTAGTGTGAATATTTGGTCTATACATCGACGTCCAGATCAAAAACCATTCTGGTTTTCTCCTGTCCGCTCTTCACGAGCTTTCGTTAAACATCGGACTATTATTGAGGCCAATATTTTAGAAACTATATTAGTTAGACTTATTCCTCTGTGATTGTCACATTAGGACTTTTTTCGTTTCTTATAGACTGGGACAACCAGTGATTGAGATCAGTCTGCTAGGTTTACGTCCAGTTCCCAGATTCTACCTAAGATCTTAGTCAATCTAACTGTTAAAACTGGACCACCATCCTTAGAAATCTCAGGGGTCAACTTATCAGGACCCGCTGCTTGCCCTCGCTTCTTATCGTTTTCTCAACTTCATAAACAGTCGGGGGACTTACATCGATTTGCCATTCAGGATGACTGGAGATCCCTTGCTTTCTCTACCCACCACAGTTCGCGATCATTGCGTAGGCTTTTAATCAGCCTGCACTTAAGCTAACTCTGCTCCTCATCGCACTGAAAGCCAGCCGGGATGAGTTTTCGAGCATCCATCAGTTTGATAGATGCTTGGCTTCTCCCTAACCTTATGGTTAACCTTACTAGCAGATATCACTGCTGTTTCCACAGCATTTTTGATATCATTCCAAGCTGCCTCAGGGTGGGCGTCACCTACTACATGGACACCTAACTGTTTTTCTAGTTGTTCCTGAAATATATTCTTAGCTATTCTATCATTAAGTAGAACCCTAACAGGTTTCTTAGCGGTGTCTTTCCTACGTCCAGTAAGCCTCAAACAAATACGCGCTCGCACTAGAGCATGATCTGAGTCTAAATAAGTGCTCCAGAATGGGCGGCAGTCTTCAGTAGAGCCTCTCCACTGATAGCTTATAGCGATATGATGTATTTGGGTCAATCGTTGGGTCGGCTTTGTTGGTCTCCAGGTCAAGAGATGTTTTTCCTTATGCTGTGAAAGTTAGTGTTTGCTAGAACTAGGCGTTTATCTGAGCATAGTTGCAACAGACGGTCGCCATTATCTGTTATAATCTGCCTGAAGACCCTCCAGGAGTACTGCCGGTCACAAGAAAATAACTGAATTCAACTACCGCTTCATTCTATTCTGACAATGTTTTATCTTTCTATTGTAGTAAATTCAATCGTTTTATTTTTTTGCTTTCTCAGGTGTTAATTTCAGTTTTCGTGAAGCACTTTCAAAACTTGGTGGAACTGCTGGCAGTGGCGGCGGTGGCGGCGGTAGTGGTGGTGTTGGTTGTTTGACTCCACAAAATGAAAATACTACTCAAGCAAATAATAATAGTAAACTTTTCGAATCGTTCGGTAAACAATCCTTTGGTTTATTTTCTGGCATATCACCACAAAACACTGATACAACCGATGCTGGTTTAATACGTTCAAAATTATGGCCTTCTTCAGGTATAGGCAATTTATTCAATTTCGGTGATAATGCAAACATTAAACGAAATTTATTTTCTCCACCAACTACTTTATCAAATAAAATTGTTAATGAAGTAGTTATTCATGAAAAGAAATTAGATGAAGACAAGTTTAGACAACTTTTGAATGAAGCACTTTCTAATCCAAAACAAGAAACAAGTAGAAATAGTTTAATTGGTGAGTTGAGCATTTTGATTATTAATTCACTTGATTTATACGCTTGTCGGAGTAGTCGAACGTGTAGACCGCTTCACTTATCTTGGGAGTCTTATCAGAGCCGATGGCCTGGTGACTGACGAAATCTCAGCTCGGATACAGAAGGCTCGATTGGCTTTTGCCAACCTGCGTCACTTATGGCGAAGGCGAGATATCCGTTTGCTGACTAAAGGACGAGTGTACTGTGCAGTAGTTCTCTCCGTCTTACTTTATGGCTGTGAAACATGGCCAGTGAGAGTAGAAGATATTCATAGGTTACTGGTTTTCGATCATAGGTGTCTTCGAAGCATTGCTCGTATATCGTGGGACACCCGAGTGAGCAACGCTGTTATTAGGAATCGGGTGCTAGGTAAGAATGGAAGATCAATAGATGAAGTGGTGAAACTTCACCAGTTGAGGTGGTTGGGACATGTGTTGCGTATGCCTAACCACCGACTGCCTCGTCGAGCCTTGTTTTGTAGTGTAGGAATAGGTTGGAAGAAACTTAGGGGCGGCCAAACCAAAACATGGCACAAATGCATGAAGTCACTGACAAGTGGACTGAGTCATGTTGGTAGATGTAGGCTACCTGGTTGGGGTCCGCGAGATGATAATAATCGATGGCTAGAGACCTTGAACGACATGGCTCAAAATCGTTCGCAATGGCGCCAGTGCATTTATTCTTTGTGTTCTCTCAAATGCTAATCTTCTGGATTCTTCAACTACTCTAGTTTTGACTTTCTAAACTTTTCTCATTTAATCATACTTCTCATCCTAACCTCTCCGATTACTTCTAATACCCTTACTAACTCTTCTACTATTGGATTTGAGTTGACGATTATATCTCTGTGGTATGGCGACATGAACTGATGTACTTACGTACGAAGTTCTACGTTGCAACTGACTGACTGATTTATACGCTTGTTACACCATCCCCCTCCCCAGCGGAGCATAGGTCGCCGACCAGCATTCTCCATCGTGGGCCTGCATTTCCAGTTCTATTCAATTGATGCTCATTCTTTTCATATCTGCTTTCAGTACTCAACGTTAGGTGTTCTTTTGTCTTCCTGTTTACCTTTGGCTGTGAGAACTCCAAGTGAGTGATTGTTTTGTGAGATGCAGTTGGATGCTTTTTTCCTCAATGTGTGTCCTGTCCACCTTCAGCGCTTCTTCCTGATTTCTTCCTCATCTGAAATCAGGTTTGTTCCCCCCACAGTAGGTTGTTGTTGATGGTGTCTGGTCAGCGTGTCTGAATTATTTTGCATAGACAACTGTTCATCAACACTTGTATCTTCTGGATGATTGATTGCTTTGATAGTTCTCGAAGTTTCCACTCCATATGGCAGAACTGTCTTGATATTTGTATTGAAAATTCTGACTTTGGTGTTTGTCGATATCTGTTCCGGATGTTCCGGATGTTGCTCAGTTGCAGAAATGCAGTCCTTACTTTGCCGATCCGTGCCTTCACATCTGCATCAGATCCACCGTATTCATCAATTACGCTGCCCAGATATGTAGGGATTCTTATATCTTCTAAGGCTCCATGGTTAAGTGTGATTTGGTTTTCGCATTTTGTGTTTTGTTGGAGGACGTTGCCTTTTACTTTGTGTATGTTGAGACCTACTGCTGTAGAGGCTACCGCTACAATGCTCGTCCTCTTCTGCATATGTTGTTGTATGTGCGATTGAAAAGCTAGTTCATCTGTGCATTCCAGATCGTCCAGCTTCATTCACGCTGTCCACTATATTCTTTGGTGGTGAGAGTAGGCAACCTTGCCTTATATCGGTCTGTGTCACTACGTCCCCAGGCACGCCGTCGTGTCGAAGGTGCCTATATGGTGTCATGCTGTCCATGTCGTTGAATACTTCTTCATAGTCAATGAAAATGATGTAAAGTGACGAATTCCATTCCATAGATTGTTCCACAGTAATCCGTAATGTTGCGATTTGGTCGGTGCACAATCGATCTTTACGGAATCCTGCCTGTTGATCTCAAAGTTGGGCGTCTGTTAAATCTTTCATTCTGTTTAACAACGCCCTGTTGAAGACTTTTCGTGATGGTAAGAGTAGAGTTATTCCACCATAGTTTTTGCACTTGCTGAGATCTCCTTTCTTTTGTGTTTCGATGAGGTGTCCTTTTTTCCAGTCTGTTGGTACTTGTTCTTCTGAGAAGACTGAGGCAGGCGCGGAAGATTGTATTATGCAAATTTACACTCTGAGTCAATTAAAAACGAAAACATTACATTGAACACTCTATTTGCACACCATCTTTGAGTCGTGACTTCCAACACTCCATCCTTCTTCCATTCCTGTTGTTGCTTCCTTTCCTTCCTGTTGGTACTCCATTTACTTCTTGCTTTTGCTCCATTTGCTTTCCGTTTTCCTCTTCTGACCGTGAGACTTCTTCTTTCACGTCCCTTCTTATACTACTTATATCGTTCGTATAAGTAGCACATACCACACTTCCTCGCAAATCTTGCTCAATCAGTTAATCAATATCAAGTTGAGTTCAAAACTTGTCCTTAACTCCTTAATCTCAATCAATTCAAATTCGTAACGAAATTAGTATTGATAATTCACGAGTTACATTAGAAAACATTTTAATAGGATTAAATTAAATACACTGTTAAGAAATCCTTTTTTGGATACTGGAAATCGATTATGCCTGTGCTAAACTAGTACTCAGTGTATTCGTTTTAATTTCTTTACAAATTACAATATCATTGTATTCAGGCTAAGTAAAAGCAATTTAATATTCATTACAGCTGTTTATCGGTTTATGTTGATGTTGCAGAAGGTTGAAGCAAGATAAATCCATTCGGAACTTTTAACTCCAATAATCTTTTCTCTTTGTTGTAGATTAGTAGTGGAGATATGCTTTATACACCAGACATTCACAGTTTTAATGGGTTATTCTCATGTATTACCTACAATATAGACTAAGTATCGTTCGTTTATACAAGACAGACAACACAACACAGAACTTCATACGTATGTACATCAGTTCAGGTTGCCATACCGCATTAGCACAGAGACGCAACTGTCAGTTCAAACCCAAGAGTGATAGCGATAGTAGAAGTATTAGCAGTAATGGCGAAGATTAGGGTTCGAAGATATAATTCGAGAAGTATAATTCAGTGAGATAGGTTTAGAAAGACATAGGTAGAGGTGTTGACGAATCCAGAAGATTAGGATTTGAGAGAACAGAAAAAGTGGATGCACTTGCGCCATTGCAAACGATTTTGAGCCATGTCATTCAAAGTCTCTAACCATTCGTGACTTTCGTCTCGCGGTCCTCAACCAGGTAGTCGACACCTACCAACATGACTCAGTTCACTTGTCAGTGACATCATGGTTTCCTGTCATGTTTTGGTCTGGCCGCCCCTAGTTTTCGTCCAACCTACTACTACACCACAAAACACAGCTCATCGTGGCAGTCAGTTGTTGGGCATTCGTAACACATGTCCCAACCACCTCAACTGATGAAGTTTCAATACTTCATCTATCGTTTATACAATCCGTTAATTGCTTATCTTTCAGTATTTGAGTTTATTCTTTTTGACTCAGTGGATCGTGAGGTTCTGTGGCAGTCTGTCCTTGAAAAGTGTACCAAAGAAATACATTAACCGCATACAAGCTCTCTACTCGAACACCATTGGTCGGGTGAGAGCATATGGCGAACTGTCATCTGAATTCTTCACTTCAAGTGGTATACGTCAGGGCTGTCCACTCTCTCCATTCTTGTTTAACTTTGTCGTAGACATCCTCTTAGAGTTAACATTAAGCTCGTCAGATTTTTCAGGGGTTGAACTTCTACCAGGAAAGTCGCTTACTGATCTAGAATATGCCGATGACATAGTCCTACTTGGTGAAGACGCTGACAAAATGCAGAGTCTTCTGACTACCATAAGCAACAATGCGAGCATGTTCGGGATGCGGTTTTCCCCCTCGAAATGCAAAATGTTGCTTCAAGACTGGGTTGCATCGGCACCTGAACTAGTGATATGGAGTGAATTAGTCGAGCGTGTTGATCGTTTCACTTATCTGGGGAGTCTCATCAGCGCTGATAACCTGGTGACTGACGAAATCTCAGCTCGGATACAGAAAGCTCGATTGGCTTTTGCCAACCTGCGTCACTTATGGCGTAGACGGGATATCCGTTCGCTAAACAAAAGGACGGGTGTATTGCGCAGCAGTTCGCTCCGTTCTCCTATATGGATGTGAAACATGGCCGTAAAGAGTAGAAGATGTTCGTAGGTTACTGGTTTTCGATCATAGGTGTCTTCGAAGCATTGCTCGTATACCGTGGGACAACCGAGTAAGCCATGCTGTCGTTAGGAAACGAGTACTAGGTAAGGATGGCAGATCAATAGATGAAGTAATGAAACTTCATCAGTTGAGGTGGTTGGGACATGTGCTACGTGTGTCTAACCACCGACTGCCTCGACGTGCTATGTTTTGTGGTGTGGGAGTAGGTTGGAAGAAAGCTAGGGACGGCCAAACCAAAACAGAAATGCATGAAGTCACTGACCAGTGGACTGATTCATGTTGGTAGATGTAGACTACCTGGTTGAGGTCCGCGAGACGAAAGTCACCAGTGGTTAGAGACCTTGAATGACATGGCTCAAAATCGTTTGCAATGGTGCAAGTGCATTTATTCTTTGTGTTCTCTCAAATCCTAATCTTCTGGATTCGTCAGCACTTTTACCTTTGTCTTTCTAACCTTATCTCACTGAATTATACTTCTTGAATAATATCTTCGAACCCTAGTCTTCTTCATTACCATTAATACCTCTACTATCTCTATCACTATGGGATTTGACTTGACATTTGCGTCTCTGTAGTGATGTGGTAAGGCAACATGAACTGATGTACTTACGTACGAAGTTCTACGTTGCAACTGACTGACTGACTGACTTTTTCTATACTGTTGATTGTGATCTAACATTTCACATTCTGGCACAATTTGTGCGATAAATTATGGTTTATACAATTACTTGAATCTCGTTCAGGATTGTTTATTCTTAAAGTAAGACTATGATTTATGAACGACTTTTAGGCGATATCAAAGTGACTTTGAGACAGCTAACTACCTCCTAAGGTCTACAGAGGGTTATAAATTAGTGCGAGAAATTTGAATTGAGAATTAGAGTTATATGTTGGGATTAAGAATTAGGGTTAAGATTTTTACCACTAAATAACTTGAGGCATTATGTCAAAATGCTGTTTAGCCCCATATGTATGGATGAATTTTGCGCCAAAATCCAAGACAAGTTTTATTGAATCTGATTGGTTCGTTCATAAATTATAGTGTTGGCATTTTCAGAAAAGTATATTAATCTATCTAGCGATGGTTACGATAATTACATAGACCTTAATCAAGTTGTTTATACCTACACTTATATGAAACCGTTCAGTTGCTATGTTTTGATTTCCCGACCGTAGCTACTACGTTTTGAGAAGGAGCATGGCTTTAAAACAGGATATTTATGTCTTGCAATCATGTCATTAGTTCGTAGAATTCGGTACCCGACCGAAGCTGCTACCTTGACGTAGTGGTCGGGCTTGTCTATCGTGATGGCCTGACCGAGCTATGTTGGCTGGAACATATGTTCCTGAAGGTTCTACCATGCCAGGCAGGTCGATTGGAGAATGATGAGACTAAAAGCAGCTACTCAAGGTTTGAGGGCGAAGTCGCACTGCTGATTGTAGGGGGTTGTGACAGCAGTAAGGTGTTTCGCTTGAACAACCAGTATCTCTAACGATGTTGCCTTCTCACAAGGAAGGAAGGGTTACAAAAGGTCGACCCTAAAAATGTCGCGCCTCACTCTACCTCATGTATTTACGTCTCTGGCGGTAAGGCCATTTAAAGAGCGGAGCTAACGCTAAGAATATGTCATAAAAAGGCCGTGCGTGACCGGCCTCAAGCAGTTGTCCCTTGAGTTCTGCGATCACGCTCCCAGGTTGCTAAGAACGACGTTGATCTACCTTCCTTTTCAGGTTCCTCAAGAAACATCTTCCACAGGGTGGGCAGCCGGGAAGTGACATCCGTCGTCATACTCGTAACAGCTTACGACTGTTTTAATTTGCTTCTGTTAGCGGAACATAGATTGGATTAAAACATGATTTGCGTCGCTGCACGCTAATTGGCTAATTCTTACCCAATCAGCACTAGCCGATACTGAGGGAACATTCTAGAATCTTCTCATGTAACTTCTGTCTGCCATTCTAACCATGTTGTTGGATGATAATCTATTTCCTGTTCAACGGTGTTCTGATTTGGGAGAACGTCTCGAGTGAATTGGTGTCCGAAAATACTAAGCATTAGGAATACCTGGGTTCTTATAAGAGAGAATTATAACAGTGGCGACGGGGAAAAAGGAAAACAAATTCAAGATGCCCATATCAGATGACTAGCTCAACCGAATACTACAACAACAGCAAACACAATTAGATGCACAAATGCGGTTGTTGGAGACTTTGACTCAACAGCTAAACATCCACTACTCGAGTCCACAGACTATTTCAACTACATCTTGTGATGCAGTTACTAGCAGTATCTCAGAATTCATCTATGATCCTGAAAGTGGATATACTTTTTCTCATCTGGTCCAAACGTTGGGAAGATACATTTAGAATAGAATTCGATAAACAAGACGTTGTGTGGAAGACTCGCTTGTTAGTGCGTAAGCTGGGAAGCAATGAACGTGCACGTTATGCTGACCACATATTACCAAAGTTACCTTGAGAGCTCAGTCTTGAGGAGACGGTAATCCAATTGTCAGAGATATTCGATGAATCATCTTCATTGTTTAGTATTCGATATCAGTGTCTAAATCTAGTGAAACGCGAAGCCAATGAGTATGCGGTCCTAGCAGACATTGTCAACAGAGAATGCGAACGGTTCAAGTTACACTCGTTGACAGAAGACTAGTTCAAATGCCTGATATTCACCAAAGCTTTTCAGTCACCACAACACATGAGGTCAGGACTAGACGTTTTACTCAACTGGATCAAGATCCGAACGTCACACTCAAAACATTAATAGATGAGTGTAAGCAACTACAAAGTATCAGATACGACGACAACAAGTTGATTGATTGAACAGGTAAATCCTAATTTTATCCGGCAGTAGTGTCAATAAAACCAAAATCAGGATTTTCAATACAAATGTCAAGACAGTTCTATTGTATGGAGCGGAAACTTGGAGAACTACCAAAGCCATCATCCAGAAGATACAAGTGTTGATTAACAGTTGTCTACACAAAATACTTCGTATTCGTTGGCCAGACATCATCAGCAACAACGTACTGTGAGAGAGAACAAACCAGATTCCATTGGAGGAGGAAATCAGGAAGAAGTGGTGGAAGTGGATAGGACACACATTGCGGAAAGCACCTAACTGCGTCACGAGACAAGCCCTTATATGAAACCCTCAAAGCAAAAGGAAAAGAGGAAGTCTGAGGAACACATTACGCTGAGAAATAGAGAAAGACAATGAGAAGAATGAACAAACATTGGACAGAACTGGAGAAGGAAGCCCATGACAGAGTTGGTTGGAGAAAACTGGTCGGCGGCCTATACTCCATTGGGAGTAACAAGCGTAAGTAAGTAAGTAAGTAAGTAGTGTCAATGCTGCTGCTATTACTAGGTTAAAAGTTCAGAAGCCAATCACACAACTTCACGCTTAACTTTCTCTCAGCTTATTTGTACACACCATGATACATTGATTTTTTTTCAAAATAATAAATACCGGCTCAGTGGTCTATCGGTTAGGGCGTTCGCGCACAATACCGAAGGTCCTGTGTTCGAATCCTGCGAGGTGCAGGAGTCGTGGGTGCGCACTGCCACTGAGGAGTCCCATACCAGAACGAAACGGCCATCGTCCAGTGCTTCCAGGTTTCTTCTAATGGTGGTCTAACATTGATCGGTTCATTGTTTCAAAAATGTGTAACTTAACAATCTTCACAACCCCGTAATGCTAATAAATCTGTGTTCACTTTGAATTCATAATAATAATAATTATAATTATCATGATTTATTTCTCGATTTTATTAACTTGAACTTTGAATATCTATCACACAATATTGATTGTTTGTTTTTTTCTTCTCTGTCTCTTCTTGTTTTTCTCACTTATTATTATAATTTAGATTTTATTGGTTCGGTAGAATATTTTAAACAACCACCAATTCATCCAGTGATTCTGTTATGTGCACAAACTGCTACACCAGAGAATATAGTTCGTTTAAGTTTAGCTTTATCACGTAGTTTAACATGTCAAATCAATCCTGTATCTAGTGGAATTATGCAATTAGCTATTGGTTTATTGGCCTCAGTGTTTACAGATGTTTATCAAAAAAAAAATTTGGATACTTATCGGACAAGTTGTGCAATTAATTGTCTACTTGTCTATTTAGGTGCAATTAAATCAGAAAAAGATAGTGAAGATTGGTTAGATTGTTCATGGACTACTATTAATAGTAACAATAGTAATAATAGTAACAATAGTAATAATAATAATAATAATAATAATAATAATAATAATCAGAATCATTCCAAATATAATCTACAACACTATTTACGATTAACTAAAACATTAATCGACTATTTTGGACCACAACTTATACCGAATGTATGTAATTGTTTAACATTACTTCTATCGGAACAACGTCAAAAAGAAGCACGTTCTAATACCACTACTACTACTACTACGGCCAAATATGATGTTCACACAATGAATAATGATATGCATTTAATAGACGAGATTATTCATGCATTAGAGAAACAATTAGTTTCAATGAAATTGAAACATTGAATTAATTGGAGGCGGGAAATATGAAAAGTTAAAGCAAACATAAACTTAAACTTAAACAATTCAAGATTTGATTGTTCAAAATTTTCTGCATTTGTATAACTAGTTTTTATATAGATTCATTTATATATATCTGTCTATTGAAATTGAATTCAGAAGAGAGAGATAAAGAGCGAGAAAGATATGTTTTCCATGGAGGAATATAGATATATACATATACATTGTAAACAATGTGTCATTCTGTACATAATTTTAAGTTGAGTAAAGTACAAATTCCACTATTTGTTATTGGTAGCTTACATATATTTTCCTGTCATCAGTTATTTCTCTTTCTCTGATTAACACTGTCATTGTTTATGTATAATGAATGCATTGATGTTGGTTTAAATAAAAATAATTCTGATTGTATTAATTATTGTGGGGTATGTTTTTTCCAATATTAGTGTGTGTGTGTGGCAGATTGCTCACTCTGAACATGCTAGGAAAACTGTTTCTCATATGCTTGCATCTATTAACGAGTTCACTTTTACTCGGTAAATGTGGAAGAACGAAGATCAATGATGAGATGATTCAGCGACACGATAGGCTCTTCTAATAATCCGATTGATTGTCCCACATCCCGCTAACTAATGCAAGAATTCTTGATAAGACATAGAGAGAATGTATTCCATAGGGACCCAGAAAAATACGAGCTCGACAAGCACACAACTCAAACTTATTTATACATTGATAGCGACGCCTTTGATGAGAACCACAAAATAGCGTACTACTAATAAGCGCTAACAAAATTTAGTAGTAGTACGATTTTTTCAGAAATTGATTACAAAATTTGGACCTTTTCCGAGTGAGTTCTGGGGATTGGACGTTCCCAACAGTCCCGTTGTAAGTTTCATTGGGCTGCGTTACACATTCAAAGTAGGGCTCATCATTTTAGTGACCCGTGATCGAACTCCAGTGTATACGAATGTTCGAGTATGCTATGAAATCAATCTTCCAATTCAATTTCCGTTTATGATGATTATTTAGGCGAACCTCGTTTGTGCGACGATGGTAATAGAAAGCCAAATATGGTTTTGCGGTTGAGTTTATCTCATGCATCCCATGTAAGTTCGATAGACATGACAATACACAAAGCGTAAAAGCAAAGCGAAGTGGTGTAGGCGAGTGAGCCAACTCAATGCGACGAAGCATCACGAAATATTTCTAGTCAGGCAATAATAAAGGTAGACATGTAATAACCTAAGAGTACGCCCCCACCCACACACACACTCGAATCAAAACAATCAAGATTATAAGCGAATCAATTGATAAAAATTCAAGAGGCATGTGAATAATGACTCGGGCAGAAAAGGTTAACTGGCTTGTCCGAACGCCTAGGACAAACTATGAGGACTCAACAACAAAATGATCGAACGAAATCATTAGTTCTGATAAAGTGTAATTAAAACTTTAATAAATTAATCTGAAAAAATAATCAATATAGTAATATTTTGATGAGACAGTAGAAATTCCATTTGTACAGATAAAAATGTGATTCTTGACTATTTCTTAACAATAAGCATGCAAATACAGGATATAAGACCTTGTCTCAGTTACTTCATTTTGCGCAGGCAAACAGATACAACACAGAACTTCGTACGTATGTGCATCAGTTCAGGTGGCCATACCACATTAGCACAGAGACACAACTGTCAGTTCAAATCTAATAGTAGTAGTATATTAAAAGTATTAGTAGTAATGGCGAAGATTAGGGTTCAAAGATATTAAAGAAGTATAATTCAATGGGATGAGTTTAGAAAGAGAAAGGTAGAGGTGATGACGAATTCAGGAGATTAGAATTTCAGAGAACACAGAGTGGATGCACTTGGGCCATTGCAAACGATACTGAGCCATGTCATTCAAGGTCTCTAACTATTGGTGACTTACGTCTCGCGGTCCCCAACCAGGTAGCCTACATCAACCAACATGACTCAGTCCACTTGTCAATGATTTCATGGATTTGTGCCATGTTTTGGTCTGGCCGCCGCTGGTTTTCTTCCAACCTACTCCTACACCACAAAACATTGCTCATCGAGGCAACTAGGTATTATATTATTAGCTCTTGTATTTGGAGTATGGCTCATATCCAAGCAACCACTTGATAAATCAGTTCATATAGATTAATTTAAATATCTAGTGAAAACCACCTGAGTGTATATAGACTGTCCATTCTCTAACAAGTGGCATTCTTCTCCCAATATTTAGCCCAAACCTAAATCCTAAGTAAAAAAATTGTATAAAAGAACTCCACTCTTGGTAGGTTTGTTTAAGTTGATAATTGCACCTTATTCACTTACACCTGTTACCCTTAATAGAGCATAGACCGCCGATTCCGTCCTCAGACTTCCTTCTCAGTTCTATCCAGTTGCTATTCATTCTTTTCATGTCGGCTTCCGATTCCCGACGCTTTCACTTTAGCCTTGAGGATTCCTAGTTAAGGCCTGTATTGTGACGCAGTTGGTCGCTTTCCTCAATATTTGTCCTATCCACATCCAGCGCCTTTTCCTAATTTCTTCTTCGGCTAAAATCTGGCTTGTTCTCTCACACAGTAGGTTGTTGCTGATGGTTTTTGGCCAACGGATGAGAAGTATTCTACATAGACAGCTGTTGATAAAGACTTGTATGTTGTGGATAATGGCTTCTTTAGTTCTCTACGTTTCCGCTCCATATAGTAGAACTGTGCTGACATTTTTATTGAAACTTATGACTCTGGTGTTGGTTGATAGTTTTTTTTCTTGAGTTGTAAATGTTCTTAAGTTGTAGAATGTTGCCTTTGCTTTGCTAATCCATGTCTTCACATCTGCGTCGGATCCACCTTGTTCATCAATGATTCTGCTGCTCAGAGATATGCAAAGGTTTCTAAATATACAATATTTGGGAACAATGTTATTGGGAGCGACCTATTTTTTTGTATCTTACAATAAACTAAATAAAATTTAAATAGGATTATGATTCTTATTGTTAGGCTGTTCCGACGAAGAATCATTTTGTAGGTGTAAATTCTACTTGTCGATTCCTACTGGTCAGTATTAAGGTCGTCCTAGCTAACAACGTCACGTACTTCTATGTTGTTCCTTATTGGTTGACCTGACTATCAATGTCACTTCAAATTTTTTTTCCTATAGGTCGCCTTATCTGTCAATGTCGCAGACTTCGATGCTGTTTCCTAAATGTGTAAATACTCATTATCTGTAACGTTTTATGACCCGGATCCTGAGTCCGGTATCCTTGCCTTTCTTCTGGGCTCGGACCTCGCACGTTCTGGATGCTTTTATAATACATTTTCTACTCCTTATCAAGTCTTCTTTTAGTCAATGAGGGGGGGGGGTGGGGACACTTGGATTAGCGTAGCATGTCGTGTCGCCGGATCCTCGCTCTCGTTTTCTGACTAAGGTACACTCGTAATAGTTCAAACCTATAAAATCTATAGGTTTACGTGTATTCATAACACTTATTTGTGCTAGAGTTTATTCAGTTAATATAAAAAACAACTATTCACTTATAATGATTAATTAGTTTAGGTGGTTTTCGCGAATTGGAAAAGTTGCTAAGAGTTTAATTTCAAGCATTTTAGTTATCTATTTTGAAAAAATGTACTGGTTTCTTAAGACGTTAATCTCAAGTTACCATAACACATTAGCACAGGATCGAATTGTCAATTCAAATTCCATTTTAGTGTAGGTAGTAGAAGTATTAGTGGTAATGGAGAATATTAAGGTTCGAAGAAAATATTCAAGAAGTATAATCCAGCAGATAACGGCGATGAGGAATCCAGAATATTGGAATTTGTGAGAATACAAAGAGTAGGTTCACGTGCGCTATTAGGAATAAAACTGCTTTTTTTTTAAAATTTACCCATGATATAGTAATTTTAACCTGATGGTTGAACTTTAGTAGAATATGATAGCGTCATATCGAAAAGGATTTGAGAGAGATAAATATCCACGGAATATTCTTTGTTTGCATTTTTTTATTATATAACAACGCTTGGATTGTCACACCATGAACGCATTTTAATTATTTTATTTCAATACGCTTATTAATTTACCGACCGAAGCTGCTACCTTGATGTGGTGGTCGGGCTTGCCTATCGTCATGACCCAACCGAGCTATCCTGGCTGGAACACATGTTCCTGCAGGTCCTACCATGCCAGGCAGGTCGATTGGAGAACGATGAGACTAAACGCAGCTACCCAAGGTCTGAGGGCGAAGTCGTACTGCTGACTGACTGCAGAGGGGTGTGACAGCAGTAAGGTGTTTCCCTCGGACAACCAGCATCTGCAGCGATGCTGCCTTCTCACAAGGAAGGAAGGGTTAGAAAAGGTCAGCCCTAAAAATGTCACACCTCCCCTACCTCACGGATTTCCGTCTCCTTGGGTAAGGGTGCCCACTAAGGGCCTTTAAGAACGGAGCTAATCCTCTAAATACCTCTCATAAAAAGGCCGTGCGTGACCGGCCTCAAGCAGTTGTCCCTTGGACTCTGCGGTCACGCACCAACACTAATCCATCTTCCTTTTCAAGTTCGTCAAGAAACAACCTTCCACGGTGTGGGCAACCGGGAAGTGATAACCGCCCTCATACCCGTAACAGCACACGAGACCAAATTGTTCAAAATCAAATCCTTCCTACATTCCCTAATACCTCTCTTATCTCCACAACTAACTCTTCTCACATTCATTTATTACAGTGCACAGCTAATGCAAACGATGCGAGTTTGCGAAACGTCGTTCCTGGGCATCACTAGCTAGGACTTTAGAATCTCGTTCCATCGATGTGTGCTGCGTCTCGGAAACGCGCATACAGGATCCGAGTAGCATCACTCATTTGACCTCACCATGTCAAGATAAAGAAGCAGCTCGATTTACCCTTCGTGTATCCGGTAGCCCTGATGCTGCTTCTAGGGGCCTCGCCGGTGTAGGTATAGCATTGAGTCGTAGGGCAGAACAATCTCTCCTTGACTGGATCCCTGTAGATAGTCGCTTGTGCGCCGTCCGACTAAACGGGACAGTAAGGACTCGGAAAGATAGGGACACTCGCCGTTGCCTCTTTGTCATATCAGCCTACGCCCCCACTGACTGCAGCCCAGATGATGTAAAAGATGAGTTTTACAGAAAGCTTTCGGACCTCCTCCAAAAAGTTAAGCGCTCTGATATAGTTATAATGGCTGGTGACTTCAATGCACAAGTAGGTAGACTAAGTGAGCAGGAGAGACACCTAGGTGGATGTTACGGTCTCGTGGCTCAAAGAACAGACAATGGCGACCGTCTGTTGCAGCTGTGCTCAGATAACCAACTATTTCTAGCAAACACTAATTTTAAGCATAAGGAAAAACATCTTTTGACCTGGCGACCCCCGAAGTCGTCTCAACGTTGG